ATAGGGGAGAAGTGCGGCGAGAGAAAGCGAAAGAACGCCTATGGGCAAACTTACCAAAAGGTCCTTCCTTCCTTTGAAACAAAGAAAGTCGTGAGACCGAAAGAGAACGGCAAACGTACAAATGACACGAACCGCAGGAGTCGTGTGAGCCCGTCAATCCCATTTTACACTGACCACCGCCATATCGCATTTCTCATCTGCGTCACTAACGCTCGAGTGTTGACAAAACTTGTCAAAATTGACCAATCAGAGGGTATCCTAGATTGTGGTATACCGGAATGACCTTTTGTTAAGTTTGCCCACAGGCGTTCTTTCGCTTTCTCTCGCCGCGCTTCTCCCCTACTTTTTCGCTTGCCGTTTTTCGCGTTGCGCCCCAACTAACTGAACGCCTGGAAGAGGTTAAAATAAATACAAAACGAAAAAATGAGGTGCTTTTTCTAGATGAAGGTGAAGGATTTATTGGTGACTGGGTAAAGGAGTATGGCATTTTAGGAATTCCTTTAGGCCTCGCTATCATCCTTATTATCGCCATTGTCAGTATTACAGGATCCAAGAAAAAAAAGTGAGTACAAATAAGTAACAATCAACTGAATAAGCTTCATATATTGAGGAACTGTTTCCCTGTGAGGTTCTGTCCACCTAACGTGGAGATTTGTTCATGTGACCTATAAGCAGTACAACTTGATTATAACCTAGGGGTTGTTTTAGTTGATCGACGATACAGATAGCCTACAGAACATGCGGTTTTGCGGATCGAACTCTCGGTAGAGCGAAGCGCGAAAAAATAAATCATTTTTCAAATCTCAGTCGGCCAATGCTCGAAACCTTGACTTCCTTGTCGATGTTGAAGTAAAAAAGTTCACAAATTTTGACTTGAGAGTAAATATAGGAAATTTCGAGCTTTTCTCGTTATGAACGCTCGACTTAACAGGTTTCTTGCTTCCCGTTAGCGTATTCTTCGATTCCAGCCGGATTTCAGTTGACACTTTCCTGTCTTTCGCAGCTCGCTCGTCAACTATCACGCATAGAAATTGAGATCGAATGATCCAGTTTTGAGTATTAATCTACTAGTCGTTCAAAACTTTATCTAAATCCCCTTCACAGACATTTCGAAAACGCAAAGAATCGAAGCGACCGTCTCTTTGTTAACCGCACACTGCTAAGCTACTCACTATAGATAGTGGGTAGCGTAACCAATAAGAGAGCGGCATTCGTGATAGAACGCTAGTAGATTTATACTAAGAGGCCATAAAGCCGAAAAACTTGTTTAAAACTTCACGCTTTATCCGGCTTTAACGACATCCCAATTGTGATCGTACAAAAACTGTTCATTCAAGAATTTTAAGGTTTAAATGGCTGATAATAGACGATAGTTCAGCCAATCAGATTGCAGCGCTTCCGTTAGTCTTCTAGCAGAATTAAACTAAGAAAATTTACAACCACTTTCTTTCAGAAGAGAAACGATTCTGGATGATTTAATGTACGAACTGCAAGATATAGAAATACAAAAACACAGAGGGTGAGTGATATACCTAATAATAACTTACACACTACACCTGCAAGTGCACAGTGTAAGGCAATTGCCATTTGAAGTTCCTAAGTTGTCTTCCCATATTTCAGAATAAGTTATTGCTGTTCTGTGGTTGGGGTGGGAAGGCTAAAAATAATAGGAAGTTTTGTGGCTGTCATAAGTTTTGAAGTGCACTTTTCTTTAGATTCTGATGCCCCCATCACCGGTGAAGAAGAAACCCTACAAAGCATGTTATCGTCATTCTTCGGTTACATGAAATATCAAGCTAAACGAATAGAAGACTTTGTTTCACACACTGAACAACCATCACCACCACCACCCACACAAGACACGGACACCCAAGTCACACAAAACACGGTCGTCAAGGAAAGCCAAGTCATGCAGCAAACGGCCGTGAAGGACACCCAAGTTACACAAGACAAGGCCGTCAATTTGCCCCAAGTCATGTCGGACATGGTTGTTCAGGACACCGAAGTCACACAAGGCACGGTCGCTAAGGGCACCGAAGTCACAAAAGGCACGGTCGCTGAGGACACCAAAGTCACACAAGGNAACGGCCGTGAAGGACACCCAAGTTACACAAGACAAGGCCGTCAATTTGCCCCAAGTCATGTCGGACATGGTTGTTCAGGACACCGAAGTCACACAAGGCACGGTCGCTAAGGGCACCGAAGTCACAAAAGGCACGGTCGCTGAGGACACCAAAGTCACACAAGGTACGATTGCTAAGGAGACCGAAGTCACACAAGGCACGGTCGCTGAGGACACCAAAGTCACACAAGGCACGATTGCTAAGGAGACTGAAGTTACACAAGGCACGGTCGCTAAGGGCACCGAAGTCACAAAAGGCACGGTCGCTGAGGACACCAAAGTCACACAAGGCATGATCGCTAAGGAGACCGAAGTCACACAAGGCACAGTTGCAAAGGACACCAAAGTCACACTAGGTACAGTCGCAAAGGACACCGAAGTCACACAAGGTACGGTCGCAAAAGACACCAAAGTCCCACAAGGCAAGGTTGCCAAGGAGACCGAAGTCACACAAGGCACAGTTGCAAAGGACACCAAAGTCACACAAGGTACAGTCGCAAAGGACACCGAAGTCACACAAGGTACGGTCGCAAAGGACACCAAAGTCCCACAAGGCAAGGTTGCCAAGGAGACCGAAGTCACACAAGGCATGGTTGCAAAGGACACCGAAGTCACCCAAGGCACGGTCATTAAGGACATCAAAGTCACACAAGACACGGTCGCAAAGGACACCAAAGTCACACAAGGCACGGTTGCAAAGGACACCAAAGTCACACAAGGTACGGTCGCTAAGGAGACCGAAGTCACACAAGGCACGGTTGCAAAGGACACCAAAGTCACACAAGGCACGGTCGCAAAGGATAGCAAAGTCACACAAGGCACGGTTGCAAAGGATACCAAAGTCACACAAGGTACGGTCACTAAGGAGAACGAAGTCACACAAGTTACGGTCACTAAGGAGACTGAAGTCACACAAGGCACAGTTGCAAAGGATACCAAAGTCACACAAGGTACGGTCACTAAAGAGAACGAAGTCACACAAGGCATGCCATTAGTGAAACCCATGAATACGATTTTTTCCCCGTCCTGATATTTCAAAGTTTGACTGAATGGTTGTCCGTAATGCTTGTATTTTGTGTTGTTAACTTTGATTCAGTGAACGATATCAAAGTCGTGACTATCTCCCACTGGGGCAGAGAGACCTAAATAAATAAAAACATACATACATATACCTTAGGAACATCAATTATATCACAAGACTGAGATGCAAAAAAAATAAATAAATAAATAAAATAAGTAACTGATTTATATGTTTGCCATGTGGGAGTACAAGGAGGACATTGGGTGATTGATCTCATTTTTAAAAGTTAATAAAAGATGTCGTGGCTCTGATGTTAGACTGAAGGCTATTCCACAAATGTGCCCTACTGTAGCAGAAACTACACTAAAAACGGGGCTTTGGCAAAGCTAATTTGTTTTCAATATTTCTAAGTCCATAGTCAGTGTTGAAGGGTTTAAACAGGCCTTTCAGGTACTCCGGAGTTTGATCATTCATAGGTTTAAACATTAATTTCAATTTTTGCTTTTTTCTTCTTATCCCATCCAGGCTTACTGCGGAGGGCGGTAGCGCATGGTAATCAGACCTTACAGTCTTGAGAACACTAATGCTTTCCCAAGAGGCCTCTAACTACAAACAGATTATTGGGTTGCCTCTTGTGACATTAAGAATAGTTTTGAATAGTAATAAGGTGATTCAAGCAAGATTTCCAAATTACCACCACTGAGAATTTTAACACACGCTTGAAACCAAATTTCCTAAGTTCCCTGAGTATTTCACTGACCCGCTGGCAAAGCATAATGCTATGTTAATACGACAATAAAGGTTTTTGTACATCAGCTTCACAAGGTGATTACACATACTTTATATTAACGCTTAATTTGTACACTTTTATTTAGATTCTGATGCTTGCATCACCAATGAAGAACCCCAAGAAAGTTTGTTTTCGTCAATTTTTGGTTACATGAAACATCAAGTTCATCGAATAGAAAACATTGTTTCACCCACTGAACAACCACCACCACCCACACGAGATTCGGACACCCGAGTCACACAAGACACGGTCGTCAAAGAAACCCAAGTCACGCAGTGCACGGCAGCAGAGGACACTCAAGTCACACAAGACAAGGTTGCTAAAGGCACCGAAGTCAAACCGAGCACGGTCGCTAAAGACACTGAAGTCACACAGGGCACGGTCACTAAAGACACCGAAGGCACACAAAGCCCGGTCACTAAGGAGACGAAAGTCACACAAGGTACGGTCACTAAGGACACTGAAGTCAGACAAGAAACCGTCGCTAAGAAGATCACAGTCACACGAGGCATGGTTGCTAGGGACACCAAAGTCACACAAGACAAGGTCGCTAAGGCGACTGTAGTCACACAAGGCATGGTCGGTAAGGTAATCAAAGTCACAGAAGGTCTCGTTGCTAAGGACACCGAAGTCACACAAGGTCAGGCCGCTAATGAGACTGAAGTCACACAAGACGC